TACTATAGTGGACATTGATTTTGGTTCAGTTGTCATTACACTGTTAATACCAACCTCACTATCACAGTCTCTTATTGATGCAATCAATAACAAAACAAACTCAATGAGTAGATTAGAAATATTGGAAGTTGCTGTTGACAATAAAGTGATTCCTATCAAAAGAAAAGATGATAAAAATTTTGACGTTTCGCTCCATGAATCAGTTAAAGCTGGTGATAGTTTTGAAGTATCAATGCTACTGCAGTTAGGAGCTGATCCTAACAGTAAAGATGAGAGAGGAAAGAGTGCAGTAGAGATAGCTAACGAAAGAAAATTCACTCAAATAAAAGAAATACTATTAACTGGTGGAGGTGAGTTATTTGATACTAATATTAATACAAACCCATAATATACCATTAATACAGTAAACCCTCTATTAACAAACACTCTCTATAGTGCACACCTCCTAATGGACAGCACCTAATGTACCAATTACATTTCTTACTGTATAAAATAACCTCCACATAAAGAACACCTCTGTATAACAGAGACACTTTCACGTCCCATTGTATAGAAGTACCAGTGATTGAGTTTGACAAATAAAACTTTATAAAAACAATTCACAAAAATACAATATAAATTACCAAAAAATAATTATAGTCGGTATTATTGTAAGTTATCATATAGAATCATCTACTCTACAAAAGAGAAAGAGTAAAAAGAGAGAAATATCAAATGCTAAAATTCAAAACAGATAATTACCAGATACATGTATATGGTATATGCTTACATTAGCTTGTGCTTTGAAGTTGACTAACTGGCATAATGGACCAAGGACTATAGAGAGAAGGAGGGGAGAGAGAGAGAATTAGAATGAAAGAAAGAATGAGAGAGAGGGAAGGACAATAATTATTGATCCCAATACATAGTAGTTATAGCACAGTAAAGAGTGCTGTATGGTTGATAACGGCACGAGGGGTGGAGTCAAGGCAGCCAATACAGCACGAGGCGTGAAGCACCGAGTGCTGTATTCCGTTATCAGCCATACAGAACTCTTTACTGTGCTATAATTAATTTATGGGATATAGTGGGTACATCAAAGGCGTCTGCCAAATGCACTCCTAGAGAAGTTTTCTTGAGTCTTCAAGGTTGAGACAAAGCCAGTACAAACATTTAAAGCCTCGCAAGACAATTTTGTTTGCCACATAACACGGACTTGGCTGCCTGATGATCATTATAAGAACATCTCTTGGCACTAAAAGACAACAAAATGCCGAGAATGGTGGTTCCACAACAGGTAGAGCAGTTTCATTTCTTCTGTGGTCACAAAGAGCTTCTCACCCAGTACTGCTAGCCATTGTGAAGCCAACCAGCCGACACTCACTTCCGGTGCTGTATGCATAAAAGATAGACCACACCCATTCCATCCTAGCAGCTGTAATGACTTACTGGTACAAAAACCAGCATCACCTGGAACAACACACAAACAAACATCATTAATAAAATAATATAATATTATCATTTTACCTATTATACTGTATTAAAATAATAATATACACACATTAACTGACTGACTGTGTTTATTATTAGGAGAAGAGACTGGAGAGGTGAAGTGGACCAGTTATAAAGTAATCCTCACTAAACCATCAGCAGGTCAATGTCAGGAAGTGATCAGTCAATTAATGGACAGTCATCAGAACATTTTCCTCCATCACTCATCACCTGATATTGTATACCTGTTGATGTCACTAGCACTAGAGATAAGAACAATAGAGTGGATTAAAATTTATAACACTAAAATAACAAAAGATGTCATCCTCTTACTGTCACACAAAATAACAAACAATACTTCATTAAAGACACTGTCAATCAGTGGTGATTCCATCAATGATGATGGAGTCATTGCACTAACACAATCATTAATTAATAATAAAACAATTATTGACTTATATCTTCGTGACAATATTAACATCACTTCAACCAGTGCTCAGTCACTAGCTGAACTTTTACTCTACAACAACACACTATTTTTCATTCATCTCGACAATACTAACATTGATACTGATGGAGTACTGGTACTGATGGAATCTCTCAGGACCAATTATAGACTGTTGAAACTATGGCTAGACAGGACACATAAACAAACTTGTTATTCTTTACCTTATTATAAAACTATTGAAAGCAGAGTAGGTTTTAATTAATTATTTCATATATATACATATATACTAGTTTATTGAGCCATGACAGTGTAAACATGTGACATGTGCTCTTGGTGGGTGTGGTTTACATGAATGCTGCATATGCAATTTTGTGCAAAAAAATAACTTAAGTAATATCAAGAGTACATAATACCTAAACCTTTTGGTACTCTTGCCTGAGGCTATTAACTAAACATCAAATTTTGACAAAATCGAATCTAATTAAAATTCTAATTAAAATGTTTGCATAATAAAAAACTAACATCATAAGACCTCATTAACACTAAAAAAAGATAGCTATAATTTTGACGACTTTTTGATACAGAAATGTACATGTTCTGATGTTGCATAAAAAGTTTGAGCTCATTCCAATCAAAATTAGATTTTTTATGAATTTTTAAAATTGCTTAAAAATCGAGCCAAAGACCTAAGGCTATACCCTTTGGTTATTGAATGAATTTTTCAAGTTGCCAAAGCATAAAAGGACAAACATGTACATGTACATACACTGACTGTGTGTCCTAACCTTGTTGTATTGGTACCAAACACACAGCTGTACAAGAGACCAGAGGAGGTGGGGGAGGGGCAGGATGACGAGCAGAATAACGTACCTCAAGATACTTTGAGTCTCTGGGAATGTGTCGGGTAAATGAAACACATTTTCTATCAACACTCTAAATAGTGAGAGACATGGAGATGAAGGATTACGTGTACATGTACATATGTACATTTACTTTTGATGTACATTTCATAATTCAATGTTTATCAGCAAAGCTCTCGTTAAACTCCTAAAATACAATAAAAATAATGAGATGTAATAATATTAATTGGTCCATTTGTTTAAATGGATATGACTCAAAAATTTCAGTTGGAATCAGCTTCAACTTTTAAATGTAATGAAAATTCGGAATAATTTCGAAGACATTTTTTTGAAAAAGGAATGGACTATAGTCCATAGTTTATTGTTACAGGCAGGGCTGCCAATAGGTTATGTGGGGTCCAGGACAAAAACTTTGATGGGGCCCCTACAGGTAAGGGTACTCACAATTTGACTAAAATTCATGTACTAGTATACATGTACAGGTACATTAAAACTACCTCCCATTATTGTAGAGAGAGTTTCACACAATTTTGAACAACTTTAAAACTGCAAAATTGATTGTAATTAACTCAAACATTCTACGTAACATAAGTACATGTACATGTACATGTAAATGTATCAAAAATGTAATAATAAATTGGGGTGATTGTGGAGTCATTATTTGGAAAAAACCCAAGGCTATAGGCTTGGGTATTTTTCAGAATTTTGGGAATTTTTTAAAATGGACCTAACTTGAAAATTTGAAGCCAGAATCAAGTCAAAATTTCTACATAACATAAGGGCATTAGTGTGTATCAAAAAATATAATAAAAATTTGGGTTAATTCCAGAGCCATTTTTATGAGCTATATAGCCTTGAATACTTTACAAAATTTTGGCATTTTCTTAAAATGGCCGTAATTAACTTTAAAAATTGAAATTCAAACTTGCTACACTGCATAATATGTATCAGATCATCAATGTATTGTATTGTATTGATGTAATATGTATTGTAATATGTATATGTAATATGTAATGTGTAATATGTAATATGTACAATGTAATATGTATTGATACATCAATATGTATCAGAATGTGTAATAAAAATTTGGGGTAATTTTATGGCCATTTTTATGTGCTATAGCCTTGGGAAATTTTCAGATAAAAATAAAGTGAGTAAATAAAGCTAAAATTTGGTAACATGATCAATTTTCAATCTCCATTATGCACATGCACAAGGACATAGCCTTCCCCCACTACATTAAACCCAATCAGTCATTATAAATCTATTAAGTACCCAGCTACAGTATATTAATCCCATCCAATATTAGCCAGGCTCTAGTGTATAGTGTATATGTATGTACATACAGTGTTATCAATGTCCTAGCTCCAGGCTCTATCATTATTGGTGTCCTATACACCTCCTCTTGATCCAACTGTACAGTAATGTACAGGTACCGGGACTTTAATCCTAAACAAGAGTAAAAGAAAGAGAGAGATAGAGATAGAGACAGAGAAAATTAAAGTAAAATCTCCAGTAAAAACTGTAAAATCCTAGGTAAAATCATAGCTTCCATAAGTTCCATTTCAATTTAGGTAGGTGTGGCTCATAAAAATTTAATTGAGATTTGAGATTCAGATTTGAGAAAATGGAGACAAGAGAAGGCGAGAGAAGGCAAGACTGCTGATACTACTAGAAGACAAAATCTCTTGCCAAAGAAGGCCTGGAGCTGCATGGAGCCACAGGATCTAATACCTTAGTCTAGATCCGATATACTGTGATTAGTAGGTGTAAGGAGAGCGAACGTATTATAAAACTATAAAAATAGCCTGTGCCTCTGTTTCCGAGTCTGTTTCTGAGTCATAGATGTCACTTATTAAAGAGAACGTGCTGTTCCAGTCATACATGATCTTCTGGATAATCTAAGACCTAGTTTGACGTTTTCTAGTGTATGTAGATTTCAGTTCCTACGTGAGACTAGCTTTCTCTGCTTTGATTGAGTGTCGTTTTACTAATATACATATACATACATGTACTTAATCATCAACCAGCGTTTTGATAGTCAGGCGGAGCCTGACCCTCGCGAAAAGGCCGGAGGCCTTTTCGAGGCCTTCCGCGAGGGTCAGGCCCGCCTGACTAGCGTTTTGAAGGTATGGGAGAAGGAAGGGTGTATCTATTTATATGCAATGTATTATACCATTTATAATG